GGAAGCAAAGAATTGAAACTGCACAAATTGATCAGAAAACAGCATGCTGCTAAAAGGGTCCAGCTCCTTGCTTTGCCTTTATAAACATCCCAATTTCGAGCAAACTCTGTGGGTAACAGAGAGATTTTTTCTGATCGTTAATAAAATACCAACCGTTCACTGCAGCAGTTCATGCTTTTTTCTTCCACCTCTCTTTAAGTATGTCATGGTTCTCTAGCCAGGAATTCTCTTCTGCCCATATATGTAGAAAAATTTCTTTATCCTTTTACCCTCTGTTAGATTAGCTCCTTAGTGATCTAGAACTTTCCACTCATTGTCAAAACTCCTTCTGTGTTCAGAGTGTGTAACGGGCTAGTATCCTACTGTTGTTCCCAGCGAAGTGGAAGGCTCAGTATTATGCTGGAGAGTTGCATAAAGTTTATTGGATTTATTTTTCTGAATAATTGGTTACTAAGTCTCCTTCCGCATTCTGCTTTGTAGCTGATGTTCATTCAGAGCAGAGGCCAGGTCCAATTAACCATCGAGCTGCTGGACACCGAAGAGGAGAACTCGGATGACCCTGTAGAGGCAGAGGTAAGAGCCGATTGTCCTTGGAGTTCAGCTGCAGCTATTAAGCATGTAAGGTTTAAACGGGGGTATAACTGGATGAAGATGGCAGAGCTGTCAGTGTTTCAGATGCTATAGTTTATGACCTGCTTCTAGTCCTACAGGACACATTGATTATGTGACACAGTGCACTCAGTGAATTGGGTTGAACAAGCTTTGTTGCCATCTCTTATTAACAGTTTCAAAAACCAGACAGTGCAGGTGCATATAGGGGGAGGGATAGCTCACTGGTTTGAGCATTGGCCTGCTAAACCCAGGGTTGTGAGTTCAATCCTTGAGGGGGCCACTTAAGGATCTGGGGCAAAATCAGTACTTGGTCCTGCTAGTGAAGGCAGGGGGCTGGACTCGATGACCTTTCAGGGTCCCTTCCAGTTCTATGATATAGGTATAGGTATGTCCATCCATGGGGGGAGAGTGAGTGGGACCTGTGTCAAATAAATGGAGTCTCCAAAGATTACTTTTCTTTCATCCACTTCCAACCAAACCCCTTCAGAGTTGGGTTTGAATTGTTTGATTTGGCAGATGTTGGTTAACCCCTTGTGTTCTGTGCCCAATTTCAGCGTTGGTCAGACTACGTAGAGCGGTACGTCAACTCTGATTCTACCTCTCCCGAACTTCGGGAACACCTGGCCCAGAAGCCGGTTTTCCTGCCAAGGTGAGTGAACAAGCTGTGGCTGTGAAAAGTGACACACAGACCACGAGTACCCATGTCAGCAGAGGGAGAAAATCTTACTCCGTCACAGTGTTGGCTATTGCAGTCTCTTGTTTGTTTTTAGTACTCTGCCACTTTAGAAGACATTAACCTGGGAGTAGCATATAGGGACACAGTGCTGCTGTTTATTCCAAGAGCCCACCCTGGGCTCCTGCTCTCCAGTGACTGAGAGAGGGCATAGTCCACAGGCAGCAGAGAGGTCAGAGGTTTGGGGAGTCACCAGCCCCTTTTTTTTGTGTGGCAATCCTGCCTTTGCTTACAATAACCCTCTAGCTGAGTGCGGAAGGTGCTGAGTCAGTGCTTTTCATTAGCAGGGAGTTGGTTGCAAAATAGCTTTGAAAGGCCCTCACTCTCTGTAAACAGCTGAGATCAGTGGGTTAGCTTATGGTAGACACATGAGCCTAACCGACTTTAATTTGTGACCATTCCACTCTGAGCAATACTTTGGGTTCCTCAGGGCTGGCCTGGAGCCACCAGATATGCCCAGCCTAGTGGACAGAGGATGAGCACTAATCCCAGCAGGGATTCTCTGGTTTACAGGAACCTGAGGCGGATCCGTAAGTGTCAGCGTGGTCGGGAGCAGCAGGAGAAGGAAGGGAAGGAGGGAAACAGTAAGAAGTCCATGGAGAATGTGGAGAGCTTGGACAAGCTGGAGTGTAAATTCAAACTGAACTCCTATAAGATGGTGTACGTGATCAAATCGGAGGATTACATGTACAGGAGGACCGCTCTGCTGCGTGCTCAGCAGGTAGGAGTTGAGTGAAAGGAATGGGATGAGCAGCTGGTATTTCCCTGAACCTCTTGCTCCCAAAGGGCATCTGGGGAGAGTCAGATAAAGTGTCCGGGGGGATGGGGGGGAGGGGTGTTCTCCTGTAACATTTAGTAGTCTTCATATTGCTTTGAGGACTGGACACGACACGGTTTAGTCCACTGGACGCTGTAAACTTCCTCTGAATGTTCCTGAGATGTAACCCTTCCTTTCCTCCCCCTCCATTTCCCAAACTCTTCTGTTAGAGTAGACAGCTCTTAGCATCCTTTTACTCATAGGTTTCTTGCCTAGGGGCACCTCACGTTGGTTGCTAATCCCCCTTGTTAAGGTGGGCCTAAAAAGGGGATAGCAAAGAACTGAAATGCTGAAAAACTGACCCGTGTTCTGACATAGCCCTCCAAGGTCATCTCATCAAGGAGCTGTGCCTCATCCCTGCAGTCACGGAGAGTGGGAGTCTAGGGTTGCTCCCGGGCAGCGGAGCACTGCAAACGAATATACCAGCTGCTTGAAAGTGCTGGGTGTGGGACTAGGATAGCCGCAGTGATGTCATAATTACAGAAAGGTCCAAGGTGGATAAAAATTGGAAGACTTTTTTTTTAAATTAAATAAAATTCCTTTTTACAAATTTTTGTTACTTATAAGTTTTTCTTTTTAAAAATGAGCCAGTTTAAAATGAAATCAGAATTTAATACAAAATATGTTGAGGCCTAAACTTAGACGATTATAATAAGCCATTTAAATAACAAATAAATATGCTGAATCCATGACCCTCTCTAAAAACAAACAAACAAAAACAAAAAACCCACTTTGAATTAAAAGCTTCTTTTCTATATAAAGAAAGAGTCAGGGAAAGCATCTAACTTTTGAGGTCAAGTTTCAAAAATATGGTACAGTTGCTTAGCCTAGGTCAGGGGTAGGCAACCTATGGCACGTGTGCCGAAGGCGGCACGCAAGAAGATTTTCAGTGGCACTCACACTGCCTGGGTCCTGGCCACCAGTCTGGGGGGCTCTGCATTTTAATTTTATTTTAAATGAAGCTTCTTAAACATTTTAAAAACCTTATTTACTTTACATACAATGATAGTTTAGTTATATATTATAGACTTACAGAAAGCGACCCTCTAAAAACATTAAAATATATTACTGGCACGCGAGACCTTAAATTAGAGTGATTAAATGAAGACACGGCACACCACTTCTGAAAGGTTGCTGACTTCTGGCCTAGGGAATTTAGGTAATTTCTTTTCAAGAAACATAGGCGAGACTAGAAATTTAAGCCGCAGTTACTTTCACTTAGGCATATTTGAAAATTTGCTCAGACCAACCTGAAATAATCAGTTTAATTCACTGACTACAGTTAATCTCTCTATTTAATAAATTATTTAATTGTCAATGTGAAGCATCTTTTGATAAAAGAAGTTTGTGTCTAAAACATTTAAGGTTGTCTTGTTTAATACAAATACATTTTATATACTGTTTTGTTTGTTTAAATTCCAGTCACCATTCTAATGCAGATTGACACAAAACAGGAGCAAAAAGTTAATTATCTAGTAAATAAGCAATATATCGTTCAGCATTTTCTAACATACTAAAAGTGTTTGGTTAATAAGAATCTGAAAATATTAAGCTATATAATTCCTTAAATGTATATAGTTATGGTGTACACTTCTAGGTAGCAAACAGATGTACCAAATCTACTGTAAAGTGTCTATTTAGTTGTAAGTCAAGGTGTTTTAATGGGTATATCAACTAATGAGTGCATCTTTCTTTAGAAAATAGCTGAAATACAAATGCTGATTTAAATCAGTCCACCCTGGAAATGTCACAATGCATATTTTCCCAGGACTCAGAAGTTCAGGTTCTAACAGAATAGCACAGCTATGGGAATATGTGTAGTAGTTACTGGGACTGACTACTGTAATTAAGTCAGTGTTAAACTTAACTAACCCTTTATAAATTACTCATAACTTTACTCAGATTCCGTTTTGGTTTGAAATTTCTTAGGCTCTGTTTCCATCCAAAAATAACTTTATTTTAGTGGTGCCGTGTGCATGCGCGCATGTGCTGTGAGAGGTTGGGAACAAATATGTCCATCTCAGCACTCCCCTCTTCTATTCCAGCTGGAATTCTTGCACGCACGTGAGACTGTTTCTGTATTGTTTTGTATAAACCCCTGCATTGAAGGCTGAGCAGAGTCTTGCATCACCTGACACTGCCATTAATCAGCGAAAAGATATGAGAAGCTTAGCATTATTGCAGCGTTAGGGTTCTAATCAAGCAGTCAAGTCAGGAACTTCTGGAAGTTACTTCTATTGCGTGTTTAATTCTGCTGTGGTGCACATGTATTTTTTGTGTGTCCCTGTTTTGATCATTAGCAGAGTGTTGAATCCATTTAATAAAATATACAGGATATACACTGTGGCAGAGTTAACATTATAGTTCAGAGTTCAAATTAAAAAAATCATCAAATGTTTGTTGATGACTTCTGAGCACTTGATTTCATGGACTTAATTTTCATTAACATGAGGCTTTTGGGGATTTCCAGTTGGGAATAAGGATGGCTGTGCCTGCTTGTTCATACACTGCCTCCAATTTACTGACGCTTTCCCTTGATCAGTCGGCAAGGGTCAGTGTTTGTATTGCCAGTTCCCCAGCAGTGCTAAACATCCCAAATCTGTTGGCCTAGGGAAGTGGATTTGTTTTCGCTTTTTAAGTGTTTCGTGATCTTTTGTCTCTCCCGTTTCTGTAGTCCCATGAAAGAGTGAGCAAGCGGCTGCACCAGCGGTTCCAAGCCTGGGTGGACAAATGGACCAAGGAGCATGTGACCCGTGAAATGGCAGCTGAGACAAACAAATGGCTAA